AATGAACCAATATCAATCTTTCCCTGCTATTAGAATATTGGCTAGGCAGGTTATTCTACTGGTGTGAATATTTAATGAGCCTTAATTACTTTTAAAAACGGGACTGGCCAGTAATGGCACATAAGTGGTTTGGCTGTCATGCTTGTATTGCATGTTTGTGGCTCAAGTGACTTACTGAGTAGATGAATCATTTGCATTTCACTGCAATGCTTAATATATGCATTACTTATTGCATCTTTTTCTAGTGAAACCTCTAATGTGATGCTGCAGTACAAAAGAATTTGTAAGTCAAAATTATATGCTTTCAAATCATTTGTTTTCCTCCACAGATGGCATTTGGTGGTTTGGGAAAGTGTCAAGAAAACACACTACCCATTGTTTGTCATTTTTTCATTCACAAAGAATATTTTTAACAGGGGAAACCATCAAATCTCAGATAAGACACATGATTCGATTCTAATTTATAGCAGTTGACCTCGTAATAGCATCTCCAAAAGAAACAGGCCAGATTGTATGGTTGTACTCCACACTACACACATCCCACTGTAGCTTTAGAAGATTATAGGTTATAATATATGGCCTCTGCATTTAAGCTGCAGACACTGCACAAAGACATTCGGTCTTCTTCCCCCCCCCCTGAGGAATAGCCCAAAAGACGTTTCTCTCTTCCTCTTGTTCTGTTTTAACTGCCACATGGTGAGACATCCCCTGCTCCCTGTCCTTAGCCAGCTATGTCACTCCTGACCCTTACTAATGCTCCTTCTCGTCACACACAGAAAGGGACTTTTCCAAAGGTACAACGCTTATTGCCCTCGGCAGCTTGCCCAGGAAGGTCACACTTCAAAGTGACACAGACAGCAGGGTCACTGTCAATGGAAACTGTTCGTAGATCAGTGTCCGTGCCTCAGACAACCTCTTCCTGGTTAACGTATCCCAGAAGGGCTACACTGCCACCAGCAGTCACTTGGCATATCACATCTACAACAGACACCAGACAGAAGCTCACTGAGTTTCTGGTCCTCATGTCCTTTGCCAATTATCTCCCTTCTGGATGTAAAGACAACAACTATATTTCCAGTTTCATTTCAGTTTAAGTTAGTTTTTGTGTTATTTAGCTGTTTCACATATAAATGCAAAAACAAACAAAAAAAAAGCCACACTGCAAAACATACATATGCCCTTGATGTCAGATATCCATTGAAGGATGTTGTGCTCAGTACATCTGACCAAAGCTTTTGTTCATAAGATTATGAACACAGTAGTCATCCCAATTATCCAAAGGTCTTTCCCCAAAATGTATTTTAGTAAAAGGTTGCCATTTTTGGCAACTAATATATGAGAATCTTTTAGAAAAATCATTTTATTCTGTGAAGCATACTCTATGAAAACAGAATTGTCTTCCTCTTTTTCGCAGCAGCGGATCATGATGAGTAAGCATATTCCATAAACGTCCCAGCTGTTTGAGCATATTGTGTTTTGCCTCATCAGGAATTCAAAGGGGCTGACAACAGATCAGACACATCCGTTCACGGCTTGATCTCCGGCTGACCAGACCTCCATTTAAATCAAGGTCTTCTGTTTCCCCTCGGCCAGCTGGTGGTGTCCAGTATATGCTACAGATGTATGGCTCATAATAGCTAGCATAGGTATGTTCATGTGTTTCTTAGTGACCCCAACAAATAAGCACATATTAGCCTATAATGTGAAAGTCAGTGGTGAAGCCACATGTAGTTTAAATGGAAAAGCAATCCAAATAATGATACCAGCAAAAGATGATCCCACGACTGTATTAGTTACCTAATAAATTAAGTTTCATGATATAAATATTAAACAAACCAAAAGCTTTTATTCATTTACATCAATGGGACACTGAACAAGTTATATGTGATATTTACAAAGTACATATTCTCAACTGTATCCAAAGGTCACAGAGGAAAAAGGACTTAAATTTGAAACCCAGTGTTTCAGTCTGATCATTGATTTTTTCTTCCATGTCCTTAACAGACAATCTAAAAATACACTGTTCTGCTTCTGTGTACAGGCCTCGTTTATGATACATCTGTCCTCCAATGACAAATGAAGCATTTAACATGTATAACCATTTTTAAGATATACAAATGTTTTAAGTAAATGATTTTCTTATATATTATGCAAGGTTTTAACAAATGAACCTGAAAGATCTTTGCATGACTGTGCAACTGATGCTACAGCTTTGCAAATGACCTTTGAAACTGTGGAACAAATTCCATGGCATTTCAACCACTGCTTCTTTTTTCACTGATTTTTAACAGAATATCAAAAATCAAATCTTTTTGATTTCTGCCATTTTGTGTACAGTTGCATCACTTAAAAAAAACTGCCAAAAGGTAACATATAATCTAATAAAAACCTAAAAGAAAAACCATTTTTGCAAAACTCAACACATGTTGGGACCACACCAAACATTTTATCTTTCTGAGGAATTTTAAATAAGTTATCAGTTCTCATTTCTTACAATAAAAGATCATTTGGTGTCTCACTATCAAAAGCAATATTTGAAATCTTTCAGTTGCATTCACCATTACAACAAACAATGCAATAGCCATCTCACAACAGATGCCACAACACTCTTTTTCTTCAATACAATGATTTTTTTAACAGCACACCACTCCTCTAAAGCGAAACACATGATGAGGTATATGACATCTTTAGAAAAGCAATGTTACTGGTAGAATATTCACTTAAATGAACAGGTAATTGACAATGTGATGTCCTGGTGCTACCTGATATTAAAACGCTAGGCCTGATTTGCTAATTCTTTAACTGACAAATTTTTTGGTGATGCCAAGTGATTGAAGCAGGTGTGTGAGATTTCAGCTGCCTACTGAAGTGTATGCATACTGATATTTCTGTGAGTAATAAATCAAAAATCCTGAATTTTTTGCCATCAAAGTTGCTTCCTCTGATTTCTGTCCTATGTGAACATGTCATCAACAGCACTGAATGATCAAGAGGCAGAAGAGGGCTCCTTTCCTCTACTCCATCCACCCTCTGATTCAGTGGATCCATAATATCACTGAAAATAGAGGGCACTGTCTTTGACTGCTTTGCTAAAATCAGAAATGGGAGACAAATCTGACTGCGTACTGTGCATCTCCTTTTACACAGAGAGAAGGGGGTTAAACACACAGCCAGGCACTCTCACCTGAGTTCACACACCCCCATGACGCATTATACCCCAAATATCTATACACAGGGACAAGGCTATATACAAGCACAAACAGTCTCACACTAATGCAAATATAGAGTGCTGAAAGAAACAGATCATTGCTAATTCAAAGTTAAAGGAAACACAAGGAACAGCAAAGTCAGTCTTAGTGTTTCCCTTTAACCATGCTGCTCCTTATCAGAGGCAATGCATCAGTCCTACCATGGTTAACACTCAATAAAACATCAAAAGGAATGAAGCTCAGAGCTCTGGACAAATACACACCCACACAGATACCACATACACTCAAACTCCCTTTCACTCTTCTACAGTAGTACACATACATATTATAGATGTAGCTCATTAATGAATTGAATGAATAGAGTAGGCAGAGCAGATGAGAGAACTGCATCTCTTTCAAGAGGAAGCAAACACACACACACACACACACACACACACTTTCTGAATGCTAAATGCGATTTCAATAGAACATTTGTGCACAGCATCTTCTTGCAATCAAGCGTTATGCAGAGAAACAATTGGCCATTTGAACCACCTATAACCAGTCAACACCAGATACACAGAAGCTGTCATCAACTTCTGATCAGGCTCCACTTCCCCCCAGTGGATGTTTTGCAAGAGGAGAGACACTTCTCTTGCACTGTTTATATGCAGAGGCAAATGCATTTAATGGTCAGTGTTTTGTATATTACATGAGGAGGTGGCATTATAATCACCTGCCCAGGTCATAGATTGACTCTGACAGCTTAGACTGGCTATTTGTTATTCAGTTATTTTAAATATTTCAGGGGGCCGACAGGATGCTCATGCAGTCATAAATTTTTCAAGCGTTGCCTTACAAAAGAAGGTAGCCTTGCACATGTCTGGTATTGATCAAGAGGGCAGCAGATTCACTTTTCTCACAAAAGAACCCAGTAGCATACTTTTATTCTTTTGTCTCTTAGACTGCATATTGTGTCCAAAAACGGTCCTAATGCTCTGAAAAATAACTTGGCAAGTGAGGGGCATAAATAAATTACTGCATTCATCACTTTCCCATTTGGAGAAAGAGCAAGAGAAACAGAGAGACAGAAAAAGACAAAGATGCATTGCTAGACCACAGTCACACTGGCAAACCTAAATGTACATACAAAGTAAAGGTGATGGTATAGAGGGTCTCAGACAGTGTACTGGACACAATCAGTTCTCTGTGAGCACAGATAAAAGGGACAGAGCAGCCTTTAAAATGCAGAGAGGGACTCACCATTATGAATAAAATGTGGCCACTGTACAAAAGTAATTCCCTGTGCTCACAGACACCAGCTATTGCAAAGACAAGAACAAACAGGCACTGCAATTATACCCCTTCCACTGGCAGCCTCCCCTGGTGATAGCCGCTATGTAGCAAGGAAGCAGAGATGAATTGCTTTGCAGACAGGCATCTCCCCTTTTAGGAAACACACAACTATGCAGATACACATACATTCTTCTCTGCAGAAGGGAGTAGCCTTCCGGTATCCCTAGAAAAAAAAGCAATCATGTTCTGTCAAAACCCTGGGACTAGCTTTGTTAATATTAAGACATTTATCCAACTTTGCACTTTCAGTAAAACTGGTTAAATACAGTCTTGGATAAGGCTCTTGCACCACTTACATCTTCTCTTTATTCTTTCCCCCTTTGCTGTATGACTCATGCTGAGCTTTTAAGATCCCTAATCTGCCCCCTTTTTTTTTAGAAACAAACAAAATATAAAATCTAAATCACAACCGGAACGGTGCTATTCATGTACAAGAGCCAATGGATGTATCCTTACCTTGAAATATCATCCAGAACCCTATAGCCCACAAAATAAACTGTCTGAAGATCAGCGCTGTTCCACAAAGAAAAAAGGGAAACAATTTTCCAAGTCTCTCAGATTGAGAATCCAATTTGAAGCCTTTTCTGATTTGAAATTACTTTTTGTAAACAGGATGTCCTTCATCGATTCTGTACATAACCCATTCCATTTTACTTCCCTTGTTCAGGAGATTTTCTTTTGGGTTGCCTCTTCGTGATATTCCACTTTGGCAAAGTGAAATATTGTTATGTATTCTAGTGGAAAATGCATGCGACTGAGAGAGAAAGAGGCACTGTAGGTCTCTTCTGGTGCGCACTACCAGCTCCACTGCAATTGAATCCAGCCGGACTCCACAGCTCTCCCACCTGCCTTCAGGAATGAAATTCAGCATCCGCTGTTCATCCCCAACAAGGGGAGGTTGTCCCCCCCCTCTCCGGATGGAAACTTTCAGGCACCTCTGCAAAAGCTGTAAGAGAACACAGTGGATGCCAGTAAGCCCTGGTTATGTGTTATTTTCCTCAAAATCGTCCCTCTTCACTGGATTTTCTCCCTTTTTTCGTTCTCCAAGTTGACCGTTATGTAGATCTCTCCTCTAAAGAAGTGTCGCACAGACTGGATGCTGAGAAAGCAGCGGAATGAGGCGAGCTGCTTGCTCTCCTGTGCCGTCTCCCTCTCTCTCTCGCCTTCACCCTCCCTCATGCGTGCTCCCTCCCAGCCTCTCACTGTGCCTCCCCGCCCTTTCGTTTTCTCTCTCCTCCTCTCCTTCCCTCTCATACACACAGAGACATCTGCACTTTTCTAGCTCTGGCTTTTGACAATTACTGCTGTGCCATTTCCAGCCATGTCAGACAGAAAGCCTCACTGTCCATACTCCTCAGAGAAACAAATAATGCTTGATAAATATGTAGAATTAAATTGATCTGAAGAGGAGCTGCAGCATGGAAGAGACCACCAAGCCAAGAGGCAACCTAATCTTTCTTCATCCTCATCACCAAATATCCCTCGAGTTTATATTTTGCATCTCTCTTCTGTCGTAACTTTATTTGATTAGGGGTTCAGTAGTCGATGCTGGCCAGCTGTCAAGAGTGACTGAAGAGGAGGACGAAAATAGCAAGCAAGAGAGCAGCATACTGCATAGAAACAGGCACAACATGTGCTGTAGCAGCCGTAGAACTATATAATTAGCCACCTACTGCAAACAAATTGCCACAAATTCTGTTATCATTTTGTGTACATACACAGTGATTACTAGCCCAGAGGCGTAGCACAATAACAAACAATGTGAGGAACAATTAGAAACAAAATAAAATTCTGAAACGTTTCTGGAAAAGCCTCCCACACACACACACACACACAATTTCTCACCTTCCCACATGTATTTACTGAGAGACCATTTATGCCATACTCAGTGTGCACTGCATAACAACAATACAGTACACGCTTTCACATGCTTTCACACATCTACTGTGAATAACTAACATTACTAAAGCCAGACAATAATTGCAAACCCTGGTCTTCGTGGCCCAAGTAAGGTTGCGTTAAAGGGAGTTTCTCCTCCCTGCTGTTGTCAAGTGCTTGCTCAAGGAGGATTTGTTTGGTAAGGTCTAGACCTTACTTTGTAAAGTGTCCTGAGATGACTTTTGTTGTGATTTGGCACTATACAAATACATTTGATATTTGGATTGCATTCCCTGTCAGGACAGGACAGGACAAAGTACAGTGTGTTCATCGTATACTGCCTCCTTTTTCACTTGATATGAAGACGCTGACCTTTATATTATCAAGGCAAGGTTACATCTCATCAACACCTTGTCCCCAAAGCTCTGGACCACGTGTTAAAGTGTCTCTAAGGGTCATTTGCCCACTGTATTCCATCCATCATGCACATCTACCCTGGAGAGTCATGTCAGAAAAGTCATCAGATTTTTTTTTTTTTTATATAGAAAAAAAGTTTTGGAATTAAAACCATCATACTAGATATTGTCTAAGGGGTCACCTCCATTCCTTCACTGTTTCACCTTCCTCAGAAACTACTGTATGCTTGGAAGGCAGTTTACACCAACAGCATACGGTCTGTGTTATCATCAGCCATCTTGTGTCAGAATGTCAAAATAAGCCACTGTCCTGTTTCACAGCTTACACATGAGAAAAGAAACCTTTTAATTACATTCCCAGAATGGCACATCTCAGCTACTAAGCATTTCTAAACAGGCATCAGTACTGATGCCATATACTGTATGCATAGGGTTAGTGTTTGCTGCATTTGCATTCAGGTAGCTTTGTTCAAGACCCTGGGTTGCTTGAGTGATGGTAATGGTCAGCTTAAATTACATATATTTTATATAGGTAAGGAGGTGTGGAGGTGCCACAGGTGGAGGCTGATGAAAAGAGGCCTGATGGAAGATTTCCAGAACAACTCAACAAGATGCCAGCAGGTAGGAAGTACTGTGTTCTCTGCTCTGAAGAAGAAAACTGAACCACCTTCTAAATGCCCTTCAGCACATGATCCCAGTAGTGGAGATCATGAGCCTCTGCAGGTCATGATCTCCACTACATGCAGGCATGACAGGACACATTTCAACCATATGGGGAGACAACATCTCATCGTCTTACTGTTCTCTTTATAGAGTGGACTGGATCATGCCTTTTATTGCCAGATGGTACAATGTGTGGCTGAATGATCAGAGCAACAAACAATTACTCAACTTGAGAATGTCATGAATGATCTAAACCTGACAGCAGCCTTCGGTGTTCAGGGAACTGCCTTTACTAAAATATCTTTGTCTTTCTCTCACTGTATCTCTCTCTCTCTCCTTCCCCTTCTGTGAGACAGCTTGCAGATAAGTCTGGGTAAGCCCTCTGGCTGAGGCAGCAGCATGGCCCTTCCTGAATCTCATAATCGAGACAGCACAGTTTCCAACCAACTGTCCACAGTCCAGACCCGTGTTCCAAACAGCCAGCAACTACAAACCATTTTCCGTTCCACTGTCGCTGCAACTTGCCTGTATTTTTAGTTTTTTTTTTTTTTTTTTCTTTTCAAAAAGGTTTGTGTTACAGAACTTCAGTTTTCAGTTGTTTTCCTAAAAAAAAGTCCAGACCCGTGTTCCAAACAGCCAGCAACTACAAACCATTTTCCGTTCCACTGTCGCTGCAACTTGCCTGTATTTTTAGTTTTTTTTTTTTTTTTTTACTTTTCAAAAAGGTTTGTGTTACAGAACTTCAGTATTCAGTTGTTTTCCTTTTTGCCTTACATGTCAATTTAAAACAAGGCAGACCAGTGTACTGTAAATACGAGAAAATCAATTAAGTAAATGCAAAATGGAATATTTCAGGGGAGGGTACAAACAACCGATAAACAGGTTTGACAGCCAATTTGAAATGATTCATATTAAATAAAGATGCACTCAAAGCTCATACCTTTATACAAGACAGACAGTACTCTAAGTGATATGTCCATGCATTGAGGACCATATTATGTGTCAGATATGTGTTGACGTAATATGTCTTAATGTTTTTAGGCATAGACAAGCAAGGCCTTGGGTGCCAACAAAGTGGAGGAGGAAGTATTATGAAATTCATTTCAGATGTCCAATCTACTTTTAATAGCCCTTCCTAGCTGTCCAGTGCACCTCTTAAATTGTTAAAAATAAAAGAAAATACTGCTCACACTGCACTTAATAGTGCCTAATAGTGAGAGAAGACTACAGGCAGACTGTAGGAAGACTCTGAGGGTTTACACTCACTGTAACACCATTAACCTTCTGGCTGCTACTTGTCTTGAGCCCCTGCAGTTCATTTGCTCACGCTGCAGAAGAATCACACAAATAACCAGGTTACTTATGTTTCATCCAAAAGTCAAAATGTTATTCACACCAAGATAATTTATAACATGGATACTATGTGTGTGAATATGCCCTCAACTCAAATAATGTCAGTGAGTGGGTTTCACAGAAGAACCCAGATATTAAAGTAATTATTGATGCCCTCAGTCACAGGCTCTTTTATTATTTTTATCAACTATACTGTAAATCCATGTGCTTGCTCTTGGAACAACCACGGTCAAAAACACCTGATTGCAGGCTACTCAGCGCTGAGCCCCAAAATGCAGACAAATATTTAAGGGAGTAATTACAAGAAGCGAAGAGGGGATATAGCTCACAACTGGAAAATGAAAAATCAGCTGGGCCTACTTGTTATTTCTGTTGAGCAGGTGAGAGGTTTGTTGAAATGTTTACATCAAAGGAAGACCAGACAACTTCAGTGCTTTTATTTTGAAGAGTTTTTTTTAGACTTCCACATACAATTACAGGAATCTGAAAAATGTCTCATATGTTACTACTTCCAAAGAAAGCTCAACAAGACTGTGGATGGCAAAGTGGATCCTTATCAGTTGGCATACAAACAAAACTGTAAAAGAGAAGATGCTGTTGTAACTTTGAGACACCTACAGTATAATAGAGCATTTAGATAAGCCTAAGGGCAGAGATACACCATATTCTCTAATCGAGAATATGTCTGATAAGAAGCTACACATGCCACTGGCATTCTCTGCCCTTGGCTTTTGGTTGTGGAAGAAGAGAGGAGGTTGTAGAGGTAAAAAACAAGGAGACACACCGCGCTAAATGGATGAAATCAAGGATACTACAACAACAGACTAAATGAGCTTCCCCAAACCCTTCTCTTCTCATGCATTGATTCATTAAACTCAACAGCCAATCAGAGTAATCTGTTTCTCACTGACGGCCAACCGTTGGCTTGATACAGCTCTACCCTAAAACTGTAGCTAGGGCTCATTTCATGAGTTTAACATCAGTATACAATTCACTCAAATCTATTATAGCCAAAATATGTGATTAGAGCTTAATCCTCATCTGATTTGGTAGTACCATTCATTTCCAACAAATAGAGCAGAGACGGTTAAAGTTAACAAGACATATTCAACTCACTGTGACTGAGGAGCAGCCCTGGGTTGTGTAAGCTCATTTCTACTTTTAACATTATATACAGATTATTGCAAAACTGATATTACAAATGCATTTATTTTAAAGTTCTAATGACACTATATTGTTGTCTTTGTTGTTATTCATCAGTGAATGGTGTGATCAGGGCTCACTTATTATCAATACAAAAACAGACAAAATAACTGTTTTTCTTCCAGTGAACTATCATTTCACACTCATCACCGTCTATCACACAGACTGAACAGGTATACTGCAACAAATATTTAGGTGTTTGTGTGAATGCTCTTGTTAACAAGGTGCAACAGCACGTGTATTTCCTTGAGACTCGCATGTAGTTCATTTGGAGCTAATACAAAGGTAATTTTTTCCCTAATCATTAATACAGAGGGTTATACAGTACAGTACTGTATTTGTGCATGGTACAGATATCTCTCTGTTGAGCTTAAAGCTCAACTGAACAGAGAGGATTTGCTCTAAGACTGTGGGTCAAGAACTGGAGACAGTTTTTCAAACTAGATGCATTAAAAGAATGTGTCTGGCCGGTAATATTACATTAGATTCCTCACATATTTAAATATGATGAATCCCAGTTGATGCCATCAAATGGTGGATTTAGCATCCAATGGGTTAGAACAGATTTAAGAATTCTTTTGTCCCTCAGTCTGTAAAACTGTTAAATCAGAGTCCGAGTTCTCAGTAGGCCTCAGCTGTATTTTTCAGATTATTACTTTACTGTACTGCAGCTACTGTTGTTGTTAGTTGTCGAGATTATGTATATCTGTTTGTTGTTTGTAATGTTTGCCTTGAGATGCAAGACAAATTTCAGAAGTATATTCCGACAATATAGTTTAATCTCATCTCATATTAATAAAATGTCAGTCAGTTTCAGTTATGACAGCAGTGAACAATACTAGCAAGAGGTTACTTTGCATCCACTTCTGTTTTGCATGCAAACACCCATATCTATCTGGATATTCCTGTGCAATATATTCAGACTGATATCATCTATAAAGATTAAAGAAAATGCTAATAAATAAATGATAAAATACCATAGAAAACAAATACTGTATAGTCTATTAATGCACAGCTATTCCGTTGTTAGATATAGCTAAACAGATTTACTGATTTTGACATGGCCTAAAGTGTGCACTGTGGGCTGTATAATGAAGGAAAATTCTAAATAAAAATACATTTTGCATCATAAAATATGGTCAAGATATTTAGTAAAAGTCTCATACTAAGAATGCTGCAGAGACTGTTTAACATGGAGTCAAAGAGATTCCAGCACAGATGATCAGATAATATTAGAATCCCACAGGAATAGGAATAATCAGATATTGTTCTAATCTACAGTAAATCACATACTCAGAATGATTAAAACCAAGATAAGGGACAGCAGAACCTGATGTTTATGGAAAAGTACTAATACAGACAGATTCTATTGATGACATGACACAACAAATGCTGAGTGAAGTTTAAAAAACATTTTAAAACAACTAAGTATTGCAAAATTAATGTTATCTGAAATTTTTTTCTCTTTCACTTTTTCCCATTTAGGGGTCACCACAGCAAACCGTCACACTGATGACTCGCATGTTGACATTTGGCACGTGTTTTACACCGCATGCCTTTCCTGACGCAACCCTGATTCGAACCTGGGCCGCAGCTGGGTGAGCGCTGCGCCTTAACCACTAGCCTACCAGGGACAGCCTCTAATATTATCTGAAAATAATCTAACAAAAGGGTCAACCCCCTCAGGGGCATCAGTGGCCATTTCTCCTAGGGTACCAACTCCAGAAACTGCCCTGTGTGTTAGCATATTGTGGTGTAACTGCTGAGTATTTCAGAAATGGCTGTTTTCTAAACAACTCATATCAGCAGATACTAAACGTGTTACATAATCAATATGTCATAACACCTATTACGCACCTTGCAGTAGAGAGACATATGGAGCTTCCTAATGCCTTGGTGATGATCACAATCCACTATGCCTTTAGTCCAAAATCTTTGTCACAGACCATCCTCCTTTCTGTCCAGGTCATCCTGTGTCAGTTTTTTTTTTTTTTTGAAGAAAAGCAAACAGAAAAACACTTTTAAAACTAATTGAATATAATTGCAAACAGCATGGAATTGGAAACTTTACATAACTTTAAGACTATTCTCGAACAAAAACCATGTTTTATGTTGGAAACAATCTAATTAATCTATGTTACTCCAATTAATTTACTCATTATGACATTAGTTAGCAGATGCTACCCCTGTTGGCAGAAACTTGGTCACAGGTTTGGACCCAAAAAGCAGGCAACAAGACAAACTTGTGTTAAATGGGTTTTTAAAAACAAAGGGCACTGTGGAGGCAAAAACAAAATGGCAGGTAGAAATTTCTAGAAGATAAAACTCTCCAGGTAACAAAAACATAAATCTTAACTCAGCTGTATTGAACACCTAAACCCAGGCAAGTTATTTCTCTTCACAAGCAAACTTTAACTTAATGGTTAAGTATTAACTCAAACAACAGTCACTCGTCACAGGAAATGCACCTGAGATGCAAGGAAAAGTGACTCTCAAAGTACCACAGGTTGAAGAGAAAAACAGTAACAAACTTATGCAGGCATTCAGGTCTCTCAGTCAGTTCATACCAGCTTGCAGGAGTTTCTTACATGGAGGTCATGACAAAATAACAGTGATGGCAGAAAACAAAGGCAATGTGTGGAGAGGAGAGCAGGAGAACACAGAAGACATAATCCCAAGTAGAGGATGAAACCAGTGCAAATATAATGGTGTTTGTAGGTGTGTGTGTAATCAGGGGGCTTCTTCTTCTTCTTTCAAACCAACTTGAAAGGTGTGCACCGCCACCTACTGCTCCGGAGTTTGCAACATCATTCCTCAAAGAGAGGATTATATTCTGGACATAAATCCTCTGCACTAACGACTGTAAAAGTCCAAAGCAGGAAGTCTCTGCAAATCATGGCACCTGTCCTCAAGAATATCAACATTTTTATACCGTTTTTTTTTAAAGTATTTAAACACAAACAGTCTTATTTCTGAGTTAGTGTTTTCATCTCTCTAACTCACAGCAGATATGACCCCAGTGTTTCTCCACACACTAGGTATGTTCATAGATTTCACTGTTGGCTTTGTACTGCAGCCAGGACCAGCATGTAACAACGCCACTGCCACAGTCTTCTTGAGTTCATTAATATGCCACCTACTGGCATGAAGTAGGGCAGTAAACATTTTGCACATAAAAGGTTTACTTGCTTTACAAGTACAGCACTATGATGCAATTGCTAAATTCAAATGCAGAACTACATAATTTTGTTTTAAATAAAGTGATTTATTTGAATAAATAGCTTCGAATGAATGTTTTATTAAATCCTATATTCTCACAATTTGTAAAGCTCTGGAAAGCACAGTGTTGTGATTTCTACTGTACATGTCACAAACGGCCATGATTTAGCAGTCAGTGCTTTTCATTTCACCTAGCTTGGCTTCAGCGAGCTCTATCAAAGGTGGTTGCTACAGTCGCTGCTGCACTTAGGCGTGCACTTTTACTGTTAACATTACTATGTGATTTTACTAGTGTGTTCTCTGTGTCATACCACAGTGCTGCTGTGAGTCATGAATTTCACACATACATCCCATTAAATGAATAAAATCATACTCACTTAAAATGAAGTTATTTTTATTTTAGCTACTTGGATTGTTCTGGCTAGAAAGCCACAGAACCAAACAGGGCATTGAAATCAAATAAGCAATTATTATTCTGTCAGTTTATTAAATAGTGTTATTTTGTCATTATTGTGGCTACTTTTGTTAGCTTCTCAGCTTGCTGGCTATTTGCAAAATTGCTTCAAAGTCAGTAAATGTACAGTATACTTTGCAACCCTGAATGTGTGTCTTTTTCCACAGATCTCCAGCCTTCAGTGGAGCCAAATTCTGAAAATATCCAGCCATTATCAGCCTTTTTTGCAGACCAAAGATGAGCCAAACTCACCCATCTTATGTGCTGATCCTGAGAGCTCTGATTTTTCCAGGCTCAGCGTGTCAGTCTATGATTCCCCCAGAAATGTTTCATCTCTTTTCAGAAAAATGACACTAGACCAGATCTCTCTTTGGGGGTCTGGTGATCCGGGTGTAGGTTACCTCTCATCTCAGTGGAGGCTAGTCTCATGGTACAGCTCACAGCTCCGTTCCCTAAAGCAGGCATCACGAAAACTGGAAAGGAGGTGGAGCTCCACTAATACAGAAAAAATTTTCCTAGCCTGAAAAGATAGTTTAATGACATATTAAAAAAAAAAAAACCTTAATAAGTGTCAGAACTGCATATTATTCATCACTGATTGAGGAAAATAAGAACAACCCCAGGTTTCTTTTCAGTACTGTAGCCAGGCTGTCAAAGAGCCACAGTGCTGTCGAGCTTAATATTCCTTTAGATCTTAGTAGTGATGACTTTATGAGCTTTTTTACAAATAAAATCACAAGTATTATAGAAAAAAATAATCAGATCCTTCCCACAGCTCTCACAGATGTATCATCAAGTACAACAGCTTTAGAAACATCTTTCAGACCTGTTATACTTAGACCACTTCTCTCCCACAGACATCTCTGAGTTGACCTCAACAATTGCTTCATCTAAATCATCAACATGTCTCCTAGACCCCATCCCAAGCAAGCTGCTCAAAGACATCTTGCCCATAATCAACACGTCCATATTAGATCTGATCAACCTCTCTCTATTAACAGGTTATGTTCCACAGGCCTTTAAAGTTGTTGTAATTAAACCTCTACTCAAAAAGCCTACTCTTGACCCAGGTGTCCTAGCTAATTATAGACCAATATCCAATCTCCCATTTATTTCTAAAATCCTTTAAAAAGCTGTTGCAAAGCAGTTATGTGACCACCTGCACAGGAATGATTTGTTTGAGGATTTTCAGTCAGGTTTTAGAGTCCATCATAGTACAGAAACCGCATTGGTGAAAGTCGCCAATGATCTTCTCCTAGCCTCGGACAAAGGACTTGTCTCCATACTTGTCCTCTTAGATCTCAGTGCTGCTTTTGACACCATTGATCACAGCATCTTACTGCAGAGACTTGAACATGTTATTGGGATTAAAGGAACTGCGCTAAGTTGGTTCAAATCTTATTTATCAGAAAGATTTCAATTTGTTCATGTCAATGACAAATGTTCCACACAAACTGACGTTAGTCACAGCGTTCCACAGGGCTCTGTGTTAGGCCCAATTCTCTTCACTTTATACATGATCCCTTTAGGCAATATTATCAGGAAGCACAACATAAATTTCCATTGCTATGCAGATGATACTCAGTTATATTTATCTATGAAGCCAAATGAATCAGGTCAGCTGGTCAAACTTCAAGCATGTCTTAAAGACATAAAGGCCTGGATGACCTGCAACTTCTTACTTCTAAACTCTGACAAAACTGAAGTTATAGGACTTGGGCATGAAAACCTTAGAAATCTGCTGTCTAACCATATAATTATTCTCTAGATGACATAGCTCTGGCCTCCAGTACTACTGTGAGGAACCTTGGAGTCATTTTGGAGCAGAATATATCCTTTAAATTACACATAAACCAGGTCTCTAGAACTGTCTTCTTTCACCTGAGCAATATCACCAAAATCAGGAGCATCCTATATTACGCGTCACTAACTGTGTGTCTCCTCTTTCCCATAGTGTGTCCTCTCTCTCTCTCTCCCTGTACCTTTCTGCAGGTAGCCCTGGCTCTGGAGCTCTACATCTCTGATGAGCAGTCACCGGCCACATCAACCTCCACAGTTGTAGGTTGTTATGTTTGTTGTATCTTGTTGCTTTTCTTTTCTTTTCTCTCTCCTCTGTCCACTCACCCCAACAGGTCAATGCCCACCAAGAGTCGGGGTCTGTCGGAGGTTTCTTCCGTGAGATTTTTCCTCCCCATGTCGCCAAGTGCTGAAGGGGAATTTACTGGGTTATTCTCAATAAAAATAATAATAATAATAAGACTTACTTTGTAAAGTGCCCTGAGATGACTTTTGTTGTGATTTGGCACTAACAAATAAAACTGAATTGAATCTCCACCCCCTCACACCCTCAGCCATATATCTCTATCCACTACATTAGCTAAAAGGCAGCTGAGTGAATTTAACTGTTGGACACGATATTGACTGGCAGTTCACATTCATGTATCAGTGGCAGTATTCATGCTCTATGGGTTGTCTGTCCTTGCTTTTCTAGCTATATGTTAACCATTTACTGTACCTTGTGCGTTTAGTGGCTCTTGCTGCAGTCAGCCCTAGCTTGGGATTCCCACAAAATGTTGCCTGACACTTTTAGCCTTGAGGTAAATGAAATGGCTTGTTTCCACCCCATTGATTAACAGTGGAATTGAAACGCTGACACGTTAGGGGAGAACTAATTGGGGGGAGCATACCTCATTAAGCCTCATTAGAATAAAGATCAGAAAGACACCCTGTAATTCCTGTAAATTTAAGCCAAAATTAGGTGTACTGTCAGAAAATGTACAGTATAAAAACACAAGTGAATAAACAATCTCCCTAATAGACAATATGGTTGTGTTAACAAATATAAGGGATCCTAGATGTGTTGCACCAAGGAAACACATACACATGAACTCAAAAATTCTTTAAATAAAAAACTCCCAGGGAATTGACACTGGCATGTGCTGTAAAGTATATGCCTACATACAGTATATTAGAGTGTGACAAACCAAGGAAAAGATCCACCCTCATCCACGGGTAGGATGTGGCACAAAAAAATCCTATTGAGGCACTCGGGTAGGTAACAAAAGGCCTTTAATAAATATGGCCTAACACATTTAAAAAACAGCCCATATTTATTACAGGAATATTATTATTAACCACAAGATTTCTCAGAGCTGCATTCTGTTACAATGAGGCTCTTTTACAGACAGCTTACTTTCCTGATAAGTTATATTACTGTGCTTTCAAATACTGACTTGCAAACTTAATTGCATTTGAAACGTCTTTACTGTGCTTTCAAAACTTATGGCACCGACAGACTTTCACACAAAACCCAGTCTCGGAGCACAGACTCGGAAGCAAACACATGCATGGCCAGGATTACGCACGCAAATCTGATTGTGCAAATCTGCGCCTGCGAACTCTCACATGCTGAGGTGCAAACCAAGTAGTGCTTGAAATGTGGTTTGAGTGCTGTCAAAAATTTTGGAGGGGATTTACTTCCGTACAAGAGAACCACTGGTGGTGAGAGATACCAAAAACACAAACAAAAATTATTTTTCTCATTCTTATTTTGGATCAACTAATGTGTGCATATCAAATGTTATACAGTAGAATTGATTTAGCTCATATCAATAATTAAGGAACATATGTGTGACTTCTAGCTGGCACAAAAAAGACATTATTATCATTACTACTATTATTCCTCTGTATCTTTAATAGTAAGGGGGAGTAAGTAGGAGAAATTGGGCTGTCCACTCTTCAGTCCTCCACAGATTTGGACACTGATTTAATTCAAGTAGCATCTCCACCAGAGTGAGGTTAAGCTCTCACCTTAGGTTATGCAATCATGTTGATTTTAACTTTAGCTCTAGAGTGAAGCCCTCTGCCTGTAGTGTCCAAGTGTTTCAAACAGTGTTTCAGCACACCTGCAATACAAATAGTGGCAGAGTCAATGTGGAAAATAATTAGCCCATTCCTAAGGCTCTGAAAGTTTGTGTGGGTTTAAACTCATCTAGAGAAAACTTAAGTTGTCCATGAGATCTAGCTTAATTTATGCTAAAATAATTTAGTTTGGCTTTAAAGAGTGGTTTGTCTATGGTGGGTTATTGTTTGTAATTTAAATAGGAAAATATTTTTAT